TTATCTTAACCTAAGACAGCCAGGTTCTTAGCTCCTATATTTTGAGCTAAAGTAATGTCATGACTTTACGATGTAATTTTTGACTGTGTTCATCATTCGCCAGAATATTAAGTATCGAGTACTCAGAAACTTTCAGAGGCATGAAGTATGTTTTCAGACAGAGTTCAGGGTTTCCGAAGTTCATAAACTAGGTGAAAAAACTGCCTGACTGAATTTATTTACGTTTGTATTTCGTCACCAACTAAGATTTCGTAGAGGAAGTGATTCATCATAGTACTAATCTAAAATTTTGAACTCAACCGTAACAGTTCTTAAAGCCATGCAAATCCTGAAAAGCCCTCGTTAATGCTTTAAAGCAACTGCGTGAATTTTGATCAAATTGGCACTTCCACTATTACACAGTAACTCAGTCAATGAATTGATTTGAGAAAGTATTAAAACTACATGGTGAAATCGAAAACATCGAACAAAATTTTATTCCTCACTAAACAGAAGCTATAAAAATATCACCTGAATTTTTTGATAAAATTAAGTAATTAATGCGTTACTTGTAATCGAGTATTCATTTCCAGAAAGTAGAAGTTTCGCTTCGAGTCAACCAGAAATTCAACAGTGCCAGCCGAATCGTAACCCACTGCCAGTGCAAGCGCACAGGCTTCATTACCCATTCGCTTACGCATATCTGGGATGACGAAAGGGCTAAAAAGTTTATTTAATAATCGCAAAGCGTACGCAAAACTTGATTTTTAAATTACAAACTATCTTTTTATCAATACTGATTCACATTTATACTGAGACAATTTTAAAGAATCCTCGCAAAGCAGGTGCTTCGCTCACTATATAAGCACTAAAGCCAGCAAGAAAACTAACGAAAGGGGTGGTTCTTCAGAAACAAGCCCAGCAGTAAACATTTATACAAGTACTCTAGGCATTCTATTATATCACCATACTACCCCGCCTAACGTAGAACGAAACAAGACTACTGCGCCGAGAAAACCTAAGAACCGATGCCATTACGCCTTAATTAAAATTAAAAACTTTCGTTCAACCTGCGGTCCAAAGCAAAAATATCTACACAGACTACGCGTAAGGATCTTCTCAGTCACTGTTACTCTCGCCTGTAAAATATGAGAAATCCGACAGCTACTCTTCAAATATTTAAATAAAAAGGGAAATTTTTTGTAGGCTCATCAGGACTACTCTTGAAGAATCATTCTCAGGCAACAGTAATGAAAACAACGAACGTTTCTTCACCTTGGTGCTTCTTCAATTACTTTCTGATTTCTTCTCTGAATGGAGCATTCACGCTCATTTAAATATATGGCATTGCCATGCTTGTCGCAAAGCACCTAAACGATCTGTTTACAGCTTTAAGCATTAGCAACTGACAACAACAGTAAAGATAAGACGGACTAAAACGCATACCTGAACTTCGATGTGCCGCGGATTGTCGATGTACTTCTCAATCAACATGCGATCATCACCAAAGCTGCTCGCTGCCTCTTGTTTGGACAAACGGTAGCCGTCGCGCGCTTCCTTGTCGTTCCACGCGATTCGCATGCCCTTACCGCCGCCTCCTGCCGACGCTTTGATCATCACAGGGTAACCAATTTCGTTGGCAACCTTCACGCATTCTTCTACATCCTAAGAGTAAAATCAGACGAGCACAACTACAACTAAATCAAAAATAATGCATATGCTTTACCTGTCAAAAGGCTCAATTCCAACCTGTTGTCAACTTCAGCACACCTCATCAAAATTAAGAATCAGATGCAATTACCCTGACGACTGAATGAAAATCTCGCATCAAACCAGCGCCATATCTATTCGACTATCGCACGATACACAAAGGAACTCAATTATCTAAACTGAACTGATAGCAATCAATTAAAGATGTGCGGTTCCTAAATATGAGGACGCAAAACACTAAAC